TTTTTTTTTATTTTTTATTTTGTTTATATTAACATCTCTCAAAAAATAAGCGTTTATGTGTAACTTGAGAATCACTTTCTAGTTAATATTAATATAGTTTTCTCAGCACATATATGATAGGGATACTAGAAATATTTTATTCGTACTGTTAAAAATAACAGCACCACATCCAGGAGTGCTATTGCTACCACAGAACAAAAAAAATGAGAAAGAAAGAAAAACCACTGCTACATTACATTTCGCCACAATTGTACGCGGTCTCATTTCGTTTTTTTCCTATTAGATAGACTATATATATGTGTGTGTGTGTCAAAAGTGGAACAACATATCGTTCTCTCGCAAAAAAAAAGAAAAATTCAAGTCTCCTATAGAGTGCTGCTGTGTGTATTTTAGAGAACAGAACAAAAAAATACTATCATCAACCGCATTAGTAATTTCAGCCACCTTTTCTCTCTCGCCTTTTCTATACAAACTCTCGACCGCATTCTGAACGAAAAGAAAAAGAAGAAAAAAAAAAATGTAAACATATTTTGAACATCTCGCGAAGAACTAAATTATTTTCTTCTTGTTCTTGTTCTCGTTATTTATTATTATTAGTAGATATCATCATCATCATCATCACTGTAGTACGCACAGACCCATCTTAGAGATAATAAAAGTGAGCAACAGATTTTTCTTTTATGGTTATTGGTTAAGAAAAATTAGATAGATAACACACATACATTTTCACACACATACACACGTACTCGACCGATAAACGTTGACCGCTATAGCAGAGCAGATAGAGAAAAATAAAGAGAGAATAAGAGAAGAGAGAAAGTGAGTGAGATCGCGCATACATCATTCATCTTATACTGACCGTTGAACGTTTACAGTGGAATTAAGCCAAGAAAAGGAAGAAAGATAGATTTTTCTTTATTAAGCTTAAAAACATTACTTTGAAGATGATCGATATTGAATCTTCAAATTCAACAAATCATAATTATAATCAAATGCAATAGTAAGAATCGCGTCATTTTTTTTTTATGTTTTTATATTCAAGGATAAAAAATTATTTTCATTTTAATCGTGAGTAGTTAGTTTCACTTTGTCTGATTTTGTACATCATGATTACTCGTCATCTTTCCCAGTTTACGATAAACCTTAGTAAAAAGGAAAAAAAAAGTTAACAAATAGGATGAAAAGGACGGAAGATTGTTTAGAAGTTGTTGATCAATCATTGAAATTTCAATAGAAAGCTTTAATGTAAGTGTTGTTGTATGTGCGACTGTGTAGTATTTTTGCGACAATTTAATGTTTTTCTTCATTGTTGTAATGTGATACACTTTCTATTTAACTAAATTTAGTGGCGTTTGAATATTTTTGAAGGACAGACCAAATATATATTCCTTATCTTAATAGACTAAGTACATATTCGAATACATTTGTTTGTATGAAGTGAGATTGAACTTTCAAAAAACAATAAAAAAGAAGGAGAATGTATAGAACAGGTAGTAGTCGCATGTACAGTGGGTTAAGTTTTAATTTAGAAATTTAATTTAAAGATAGATGTAGATACCAAGTTGCTCTCAGAATTTCTACGATTAGAAGGTCTGTTTTTGTCTTTTACAGTTAAGTGCAAAAAAAAGAGCTCTTTAGAACAAAAGATTTCATTTATTTGATGAAAATGTACGCAACAGCTCTGTCTTTCTTTATCAATATTTAGGCTGTAATAACGAAATGTTTGATTCTTTTTACTGTAGAGTATTCTTAAGTAATTCGTTCCAACTCGCATTGAATGAAAAATCTTTTTTAAAAAAAACTAAAAGGAAATTTTTCCGCGTATCATTGAAAATTTTTCGCATTATAATCTGTTGAAAATATTTTTTCATCTAATACTTTATTGTATTTCATTTCAAAAACTATTGATATTAGACAGCAAAATAGTAAAGATTTAATTGATCTAATTTTAGTTTAAGCAAAATATTAATTTATTTTAAGTCTATTTTACGATTTTTTCTTAATCGATATACTGCCCCATCTGTTTGACGAAGTTATTCATGCAATGTTCTCTTAAAATGGATGCTATAATAGAAATGTTTTCTTTGACGAAAAAGAATACGTTATCTTATCTCAACTCCATACATTTTTTTCTCTTTCTTATAAAATAATTTTCTACTTCATCTTAACCGCAATAAAATCGTACTGTTTTTTTTTTTTTCTCTGATCCGTTCATCTAATATAAAAAGAATGTATTTGTCGATAACTATCGTCTTCTAATACTATTTTTCTTTATTTCTTCTTTTGTTTATCTTATTATTCTTGTAATCATTACAAATTGTTTTTTTTGGAATAAGACAATGATGGTTTATTTCATCTAAAACACAAAAAGGTTATGATCTAATATTTTATCGGAATAATGAATGACAACTTTTAACACTCATATGTTACATAAACCTTTAGCCTAATAATAATATCTATAGCCACCATTCGTCATCTAATCTTACTCTTATTTATTGATTTTAGTCTAATCTCTTGTTTGCTTAGATTAGATTACAAAAAATTTTAATTTTATTTTTTTCTAAAGTAAAAAAAGTGCCTGATACTGTAGTTAAGATTATAGACTCCGAGGAATAAAATTTCTATTTCCATTTCTATATATATATATATGTATATAGATGCATGTATGATGTTAAAGAAATTAAACTTACGTAAGAGAAAGGAGAATATATGGCAACATTTGATTTTGATATGAAATTGATCATAATTATTGCACTTCAAACCTGATATTAGTTTTTCTTTTTTTTTTTGGGTGAGCCCTCATGACATAAGAGTTAAACATGTATGTGATGAACGTAAATCACTAAGAAACAAGTTACCGCACATTTAATACGAGAAATTAATAGCACATTTAGTTTGTCTACTGTGAGTATGAGATCTGTCTTTAGAACAGATACATGATGAATTTTTTTATTTTTGGCTCAATGAATATTACAAATATTCCATTTTTTTTTATTTTAATCTCATTTCAGAGTTTCACACCTATAAATACACACACATTGTCTCCAGATAAAACTATGACATTTGAACTCTCTAAAAATAGTGTCACTGTCTAGTTGTCATTAGTATCATGTCTTTTTCACATTCTTTCAAATGAGTCATTAGAAGTCTATTATTTAAGGTAATTCATTCAGTAATGTTCGACTCTATGGGTCATTCAAATATTTCTTATGAAAGAAGAGTAGATTTTTTTGAAGAGAAAATAGTACGAGCAAACATTGATCTATGTTCACACTTCACATAATTTCTATTGATCGAATTTATCGTTGAGTTTCGACGTATGTCTGTTTTTCCTATTTGTAGCATCAAAAAATCGAGACTTTTTCTTTTTTTTTTCGCTTCTTCTCCCTATTTCTCATGAGAATTGATTTTATTCTTGTGTGAATATGTGCGCGTCCTTGACTTGAACGGAGACAACAAAGGGAAAATGAAAAAAAAAAAAAAAAAACAATAAAAAAGAAGGAGAATTTATAGAACAGGTTGTAGGCGCATGTACAGTGGGTTAAGTTTTAATTTAGAAATTTAATTTAAAGATAGATGTNACCCCTGAAGATAAAAGAATTAATGGACTCTAAACGGATAAATTCTAGAAATCCCCTAAGGCCGGCCCACAAAAAAACCCCAAAATAAAAAAAAAAAAAAAAAAAAAAAAAAAGAGGAAAGAAGGAATAATAATAAATAACTGAGATCTTGTTTTAATGAATAATTTAGTCTTATCAATTCTATATATAGATAGACAGACATAGAGGAAAGAACTGTTTATTATCACAAAAAAGAAAAAGAAAGAAGAATTGACGTTGTAAAATAAGAAGAGAATTTGAATACTACTAGTAGCAGTGTATCGATGATACTATACTTTTGAATATATACACATACTCACAATAGTGAGAGGTTTCTTTTTGAGGGAGGAAGGGGGGGGGGGGGGGCGGAAGAGGGGGTTTTCGGCCAGGTTAGGGAGGTTTGGAGGTTTTTTGGGAAGGAATNCCCCCCCCCCCCCCCCCCCCCCCCCCCGCCCCCCCCCCCCCCCCCCCCCCCCCCCCCGCGCGCCCCCCCCCCCCCCCCCCGGCGCGCGCGCCCGGCGGAAGAAGAGCTATTCAGACAGGTTAATGAAGATTTGATCATTATTAGGAAAGAAAAAGAAGAGAAGAGAGAAAAATCAAACGTTATTTGTCTGTCCAAGAATAGAGTTATAGACCATTGAGTTGATGTATTCATAATGTGTTTGTAGATAAATAGGACATTGTCTCTCGGTACATATATATATATATATATATATATTTGATTATTATCCATAATGTTACAACAAAAATAGAAGTAGACAGGAAACTATGATAAGAGTTTTTCTTTAACTAAAATGAATAATTAATGTAGCAATGAAAGAGGATAAAAAAATGTTGAAGTGGTACTAATAATACGATTCAATGATGAATAAACATGTCTTACTAAAAAAAAACTATGCCTTTATGTTTAATTAAAAGATAATTTTAGAACTTTTAGATAATATGAAATGTATAAAATAAATTAAGAACTTGCGTCTTTTCAATGAAACTTTCTTTGAAAAAAAAGAAAAAAAAAATCACTAGTTTTTTTCTTCACAAATAATTTACTTGGCAGTCTGTATAGAAAAAGAGATTTGATCAATATTGATAGTGAAAATCATTATAGTTCAATGTGCTCGAAAAATGTTGTTCAGAATTAATCAATCTTTTTTCTATTCTAACCGTAAATGAACAATTCCATAAAGTACATTTTTGTATCTAAACGATTTCGAGCAGACGTACATATATATATATACATCTTATATCATAGAGAAAATTTAATTTTCTCATTCAATTGTGTACTGTTCTTATTTTTTTTTATATCATCCACATAATCAACGATAATAATAATAAATATTAACTTGAATACTTTTCTAACACTGTTTTATTTTATTTTTTTGTTTTTCAAATTTTAGTTTGGATATGTCGTCAACTCTAAACGGGTTAGGAATTGGCGGCGATCATTCTCATTCATTTGATATAAATCAAATGGTATTAGATGTTGGAGAACAACAAGATGATTGTAATTCATCGGCACGTATGTTTGAACGTACAAGAATTCAAGTATTAGCCGATGAACGTGGTCATGTACAAAAAAAAACATTTACAAAATGGGTTAATTCACATTTATCTCGAGTTGGATGTCGAATACAAGATTTATATACAGATTTATCTGATGGTCGTATGTTAATACGTCTATTAGAAATATTATCTGGTGAAAGATTACCAAAAGCTACACGTGGAAAAATGAGAATACATTGTTTAGAAAATGTTGATAAAGCTATCATGTTTTTACAAGAACAACATGTACACTTAGAAAATATTGGGTATGTTAATATTCTATTTTTTTCATATTTCTTTATTTTCTCATTTATAAAAATATATCTTTTTTTTTTTTATATAAATATTATTTAGTGCCCATGATATTGTTGATGGGAATTCAAGTTTAATATTAGGTCTTATATGGACAATAATTCTTCGTTTTCAAATACAAGATATTACTATTGAAGAATTTGAATCATCTGAAACAAAATCGGCTAAAGATGCTCTATTATTATGGTGTCAAATGAAAACAGCCGATTATTCAAATGTAAATGTTCGAAATTTTACATCATCATGGAAAGATGGTCTTGCATTTTGTGCACTTATACATAAACATCGTCCCGATCTTATACCACAATTTAAAACACTTACAAAAGATCAACCAATGAATAATCTTAAATTAGCTTTTGATACATGTGAAAAAAAATTAGGTAAAAAAATAAAAATTTTCAAATAAAAAAAATATTATTTAAAAACGAAAAAATTTCTTCTGTTTTTTTTTTTATTTTTTTACTTATATCTATCTATCTATCTAGGTATAACAAAATTATTAGATCCTGAAGATGTTAATGTTGAATATGTTGATGAAAAATCTATTATTACCTATATTGTAACATTATATCATTATTTTTCTAAAATGAAAAATGATAGTGTTCAAGGTAGACGTTTAGCTAAAGTAGTTGGTTCAGCATTAGATTCAGAAAAAATGCAATTAGAATATGAACGTTTAACATCCGATTTATTACAATGGATTGAATTAACTATTCAACAATTAAATAATCGAACATTTCCAAATTCATTGGCTAAAGTACAAGAAAAATTAATTGAATTTAATAAATATCGAGTTATTGATAAACCGGGAAGATTTGCTGAAAAAGGTAAAATATTTATAATAAATATAAAATTATATTATTTAAATTTTCTTTTTCTTTATATATTTATATAGGTAATTTGGAAGTATTATTATTTACATTACAATCAAAAGAACGTGCTAATCAACAAGTGCCCTATTATCCACGAGAAGGTAAAATGATATCGGATATAAATCAAGCATGGGAATCATTGGAACGTGCTGAACATGAACGAGAATTAGCATTACGTGAAGAAATATTACGTCAAGAAAGATTAGAACAATTAGCATCAAAATTTAATCGTAAAGCAGGTTTAAGAGAAAAATGGTTAACAGATAGTGAAAAATTAGTGGCATCAGATCAATTTGGTTCAGATTTAACATCAGTTGAAGCGGCATTTAAAAAACAAGAAGCTATTCAAACAGATATTGCCGCTTTTGAAGAACGTTTACAAAATATAATGGCAATAGCAAATGAATTAAAATTAGAAGATTATCATGATTATTCAACAATTGAAGCACGAAAAAAAAATGTTGATATGCATTGGGAATATCTTGTATCATTAGTTACAAAACGACGACAATGTTTAGAATTAGCATACAATTTACAACGTGTATTTCAAGTAAATAGAAAAATTATTTTATTATATAAAAATTATTTTGTTTTTTTCTTTTCAAGGAAATGCAATATATTCTTGATTGGATATCCGATTTAAAATGGCGTTTAAAATCAGATGATATTGAAAAAAATTTAATGTCTGCTGATGATTTACTTCAACGTCAATCATTAATTGAAGCTGATATATTTGTTATTGATGAACGTCTTAAACGTGCCATATCAGATGCTGATGAATATTTAGATCCATCAATTAATATTGATGGTTATCGTCCATGTACAACAGAAGATATTGAATATCGTATACATAATTTACAATCATCCTATGAAGAATTAATTGATTTAGCACGTAAACGACGTGAACAATTAGAACAAGGAAAATTATTATGGAAATTTTATTCAGATATGAATGATGAAGAAATATGGATTGATGAAAAACAACAACAAATGACATCACCCGATTATGGACATGATGTAAATAGTGTACTTAGTTTAAAAAATAAACATAAATCACAAGAATATGATATGCAAATTCGATATACACAATTAGAACAATTATTAAATACAGGTATAAATTATTCTATTCTATTTGAGATAAAACAAAAAACAAAATAACATAAAAATATTTTATATATAATATTTAGGTGAACAAATGATTCGTCAATCACATTTTGGTACACCAAAAATATCTGCTCGTTTAGAATTATTAAAACAAAAATGGGATAATTTAATTCGTGAATCAAATGAACGTGCTAAACATTTACAAGAATCATATGATTATTATCAATTTTTTTCGGATGCTGATGATATTGATACATGGATGTTAGATATGTTAAAATTAGTATCAAGTGAAGATATTGGTCGAGATGAATTATCAGCTCAAACATTATTAAAAAAACATAAAGATGTTCAAGATTTACTTGATAATTATCGTAAAACAATTGATGGTTTAAAACAAATTAATTTACAACAATTAACTGTTGATAATAGACAATCACAAGATGTTCAACAGAGAATACAATCAATTGATAGACGTTATGCTGAACTTTTAGAATTATCTAAATTAAGAAAACAAAAATTACATGATGCCATTTCACTATTCAGGTAAATAAACAAAAATGTTTTATAGAAAAAAGAATTTTAATTTTTGTATTTTCTTTTTCTTCTTCTTTAGATTATTTCATGATGCTGATAATGTTGAAGCATGGATTGATGAAAAAGAACGATTTTTAGCTACATTAGATCCAACTATTGTCAATGATATTGAAGAATTAGAAGTAATTAAACATCGTTTTGATGGTTTTGAACGTGATATGAATTCCACAGCATCAAAAGTAGCTGTTGTTGGTCATCAAGCTCGTGCATTAATGCAAATTGATCATCCAAATTCACAAGAAATTCTTGATAGAATGAGTCGTTTAAATCAAAATTGGGCACAATTAAGAAAATTAGTAGATAAAAAACGAGATGATTTAAGTTCAACATTTGGTGTACAAACATTTCATATTGAATGTAATGAGACAATATCATGGATACAAGATAAAATTAGAATTGTACAATCGACAGAAGATCTAGGTAAATTGATAGAATATTTTTTTAATATGAAATTAAATATATTTTTTAAAAATAAAAAAACAAAATATTTTATTTTATTTAGGTCGTGATTTGGGTGGCGTAATGACAATGCAACGTCGACTAAGTGGTTTAGAACGTGATATGGCTGCTATACAATCGAAATTAGATCAACTTGAAAATGAAGCACAAAAATTAGAAAAAGATCATCCAGATGAAGCACAAGATATTAAAACAAAAGTAAATCAAATTAATAGTGTTTGGTATGAATTAAAAGAAATATTACGTCGACGAGAAGAATCAATGGGTGAAGCAGCTGAATTACAAAAATTTCTACGAGATTTAGATCATTTTTCAGCATGGTTAACACGTACTCAAACATTGGTGGCGAGCGAAGATATACCAAATACATTAAATGAAGCTGAACAATTATTAAATCAACATCAAACAATTAAAGAAGAAATTGATCGTTATGGACCAGATTATTCACAAATGAAAGATTATGGACATCGTGTAATACGAGATGCTGATACATCCGATCCACAATATATATTTTTAAGAGAAAGATTAAATGCACTTGGTAAATAAATGATTAAAATTATAAATAAATATGTTATATTTTTTAATTTTATTTTTTATATTATTATAGATGATGGTTGGAATGAATTAGATCAAATGTGGCACCAAAAGAAGAATATGTTAACAGAAGCCATGCAATATCAAATGTTTATGAGAGATTCAAATCAAGCTGAAATATTATTGAATCATCAAGAAAATTATTTACAACGTGAAAAAGAACAACAACCACGAACATTTGATGATGTAGAAGTAATGATTAAAAAACATGAAGATTTTATGACAACAATGTCAGCTAATGAAGATAAAATACATGGTGTTTGCTCATTTGCTCAAAGATTATGTCAAGAAAATCATTACCTTGGTAAAAATTTGAAACTTTTTTTTTTTTCTTTCTTCAAATCTGTTGAACTTTTGAAGAGATAATTTGATATGGAATATGATACTATTTCAAATTTTTTGCATATAAAAGTACAGTTTTCACATTGTTTTTCTTTTTCTGTTTTGTTTAAGGTGATCGTATTCTTCAACGTGCATCAATAATTAACGATCGTCATGACTCGAATCGTTCTCGAACAATGGAAATTTCTGATAAATTACGTGATGCATTAAAATATTTTCAATTTATTCAAGATTGTGATGACTTAAAAGAATGGTTAGATATGAAATATTTACAAGCTCAAGATGATACATATCGTGATACGACAAATATTCATACAAAATATTTGAGACATCAAGCATTTCAAGCTGAAATTATTTCAAATAAAGAACGATTAAATTCATTGAAAAGGCATGCACAACAACTTAAAGAAGAACAAACCGAAGAAGAGAGTAGTGGTGGTAAAACAAGAATGAGTTTAAGTAAAAAACAAGAGGGAGAAGATTATGATGCAACAATTGATAAACGAATTGAAGAATTAGAACAATTATGGACAAATCTCGAAGAAACAACCAAAGATAAAGGTAAAAAAATGATGACGAAAAAATAATAAAATTAAAAAATTATGATGAATTTTTTTGTATAGGTGAACGTTTATTTGATGCTAATCGTTCAAAATTATTTCAACAATCTATCACCAATTTGGATGAATTTATGTTCGATATTGAAAAACATATTAAAGCTGGTGAAGGTGAAACAATAGTTGATGGTACTCCTGTTGAATCAACAATACAAACTCAATTAGCACCTGAAGAAAATAATTTAACATCAACTAATCTATTATTATTGAAACAGACAACTATTGAAGAAGAACTACTTAAACGACAACAACAAGTTGATGAACTTCGATTACAAGCTGAAAAGTTAAAACAATTAGAACCAGATAAATCACAAGAAATTGATACAAAACGAATACAAGTTGAAGAAAAATTTAGCAGATTATTACAACCATTAAATGAAAAAAAATTAAGATTAGGTAAATAGATGATTTAATTGTTCAATTTTTGAATATAATCATATTTTCTTTCTCTTTAGAACAACAAAAACGTTTACATCAATATATACGTGATATTGAAGATGAACAATTGTGGTTAAATGAAAAATTTCAATTTATTCAACAGTCGCAAGCTGATTTTATGACATCAACTTTTACACGTCAACAAACACTTCAAAATATTCAATTATTGAAACGTAAAAATGAATCTCTTTTAAAAGAAATTGATAATCATGAACAACGACTTATTGAAAATTTAAAAACAGAATGCGAAGAAATATCACAGGTAATTACATGAGTAATAACTATTTTTAGAAATCGAAAAATCTCTCTTCGTAGTGTTTTAAATTCTATCAGTAAACCCTTTTTGAAAATCTATACTATTAAATTTTCCTTTGTCCGTTAAACTTCGCCATCATTGCAGCATATTTTACTGTGTTTTTAGATCTATCCACAACGTGCTGATGAATTTCAACAACGTTTAGAAGAATTATCGATAAATTATGCCCAATTAAAAGAGACAATTCGTCAACGTCGTGAACATTTAGAATTATTAGAACAAGTTTATCAATATTATTATGATTTATCTGAGGCTGAAGCTTGGCTTGGTGAACAAGAATTGTATATGATGAGCGAAGAGCGAGGAAAAGATGAAATTTCCACTCAAACATTCATACGAAAACAACAGCAAATGGAAGGAAATATTGAACAATATACAGATATATTAAGACAATTAGGTATTGTACACAACTTCTTTTTCACTCTTATCTAATTATTTCTATTTATTTTCATTTTCTTTATAGGTGAACGAGCAAAAACTCTAGTAACAGATTTACATTCATCAACGTTAACATCAGAATTGATTCAGGATCATACAGAGCATATTCAAAAACGTCAAACACAATTAGATAAATTGTACGCATCGCTCAAAGATCTCTCACAAGAGCGTCATCTTCGTCTGGATGAAACATTAAAATTATACAAATTAAATCGAGAAATAGAAGATCTAGAACAATGGATATCTGATCGAGAACTTATTGCTGGCTCACATGAATTAGGACAAGATTTTGAACATGTCAATATGCTTTTAGGTAAGAAATTTTTTTCGTATTAAAAGTATTTGAATATGTTTACAATTGTAAACAATTGAAATATTAAATTAATTTATCTCTATGATCGTTTGATACTAGTCTCATGTCATGTATATCATTTTATTTTTATATTTTAGATCGTTTTACTCAATTTTCAACTGAAACTCAACAAATTGGTGATGAACGTTTATCACATGCCAATGAAATGATTGATATTCTTATTGCAAATGGTCATGTTGATTCAGCTCAAATAGCCGAATCAAAAGATCAATTAAACGAATCATATCAAGATCTATTAGAAATGATTGAAACACGATTACAATCATTGAAAGCATCATGGGAATTACACAAATTTTTACATGATTGTAAAGAAATTATTATAGTAATGCAAGAAAGAAAAAATTCCATACCCGATGAAATTGGTCGTGATCAACAAAGTGTACAACAATTAATTCGAAAACATCAACAATTTGAAACAGAACTAGTACTATTAGGTAAGGTTAAGATTAATAAAAAAGAAAAAGTTTAATAATTGATAGAACTAAATTTATCCATTTATTACTATTATAATATCATCTCTTATTTCTAGCTCAAGAAATTCAACGTATTCAAATGGAATCCAAACGTTTACATGGTCGTTATGCTGGCGAAAAAGAATCGGATATTAAACAAAAAGAGAATGATGTTATTCAACAATGGAAATCGTTTCAACAATATGTTGATCAACGAAAACGTTTATTAAATGATTTTGATGATTTACATCGATTTTTTAATATGGCAAGAGATTTACACATGTGGATGGATACAATGATTCGTCAAATGACAAATAGTGATAAACCACATGATGTATCAGGCGTTGATCTACTGATGAACAATCATCAGAGTTTAAAAGCAGAAATTGATGCTAGACAAGAAAACTTTACAATGTGTATTAATTTAGGTAAGTGAAATATTTTAGTAAAATAAAAATGATTAAGCTTTATCTATACAATTTAAAAAAAAAAATTTCTTTTATACTTTTAATTCATAGGTAAAGATTTAATAAATCGTCGTCATGTTCGTTCATTTGAAGTTAAAGATAAATGTATACAATTGTCAATGTTGAGAGACAAATTAGATGATACATGGTCAGAACGATGGGAATATTTACAATTAATTTTGGAGGTCTATCAATTTGCTAGAGATGCAGCTATTGCTGAAACATGGTTAATTACACAAGAATCCTATTTACAAAATGAAGAATTAGGAGATACTCTAGATCAAGTTGAAAATTTAATTAAACGTCATGAACAATTTGAAAAAAGTCTTATGGCACAAGAAGATCGATTTAATGCATTGAGAAATTTAACAACTTTAGAAAAGAAAAAACAACAGCCACCACCAGAGCCAAGACAAACAAAATTACACATATATCTAGGTAATAAAGCTTAAAAAATATGGATAATACAATTCTTGATCTCTCAATTGTTCTTACAGACGATCAAAATGACTATTTTTTATTTAGATGAATTTAAAACATGGGATGAACGAGATGCTGAAAGACCATCGAAAGCAACCGTTGGTGGTGAATATAGTGCAGGTGATCAGACTACAACAACAAGTGCAACAGATGGACGCCCGTCGACATTACCATCGGGTAAAAAACGTCCATCAGACACAACCGATTCTGGATCAAGACAACAACAACGACGATCAGAGTCAATTTCAAGGCAACAAGTTGTTAAAGAAGGTTTATTAACAAGAAAACATGAATGGGAAGGACAGGAAAGAAAAGCACAACATCGAGCATGGGAAAAATTATATTGTGTATTAACAGGTATGAAAAGATTTTTACTAGATTTCAAACATTGTAGTAGATTTGTTCAGCGCAAAATGACATTCACAGTAAAAGGTATCAACTGATGATTTCTCTTAATTTAGGTTCTCATTTACAATTTTATAAAGATCAAAAACATTATAAAACGTCTCGTACATACAGTGAAGATTTACAATTCGATAATTCGACAAATGTTGCACCAGCGACAGATTATCGTAAAAAAACACATGTATTTCGTTTACGTTTAATAGATGGTAATGAATATTTATTTCATGCCAAAGACGATTTGGAAATGAACGAATGGATTCAAGCTATCAATACGTGTATACCATCTACATCCGCATCAACTACTACCACTCATATTCCATCGATTGCTCTCACATCACCCCCTCCTCTCTCAGCTTCGTCTTCCCCTCGTCATCATCCACCATCAATAATGACAACAAGTACATCAGGCGTAGAAATTACATCTACTCAATCGCCACCAACAGCTACAGAACAAAAATCACGAACATTACCTACAGAATCACAGCCGACATCATCGTCGACAACTACTGGAACAGGAGCGTCAACAACAGCAACAGCAACAAGTGGCAAAAAGAAAACAGGCGGATTTTTTTCAATGAAACGAAAATAAATTGAGAATGAATAAATATTGTTTCTTTTCTTATCTTATCAAAAGTTATCAAAATATATCTTCACTAATACCGCAAAAAATGAGTTGCAGAATGAAACAATGTGTTTTTTGTTTTCGTGTGTGCTTGTGCGTATGGGTATATATGTATATGTATGATGTATTTTTTTGCCAGTATACAAGTTTTAATTTCAGGGAATGTAGTCATATTCTCTTCCCATTTCTTCTTTTTTTCGTTCTCATTATAATGATTCTCACGTATATATGTTCTTTTTTTTATCGCAATGAATTTTTTTTTTTCTTCTCTATCTTCTCTTCTCAAGTAAAACTTTGCTTCGTTCTTTTTTGTTAATTCGATTACTTTTAAAAAAAGGATCACAGCTTTGAACTATTAAACAAAAAAGCTGCTCAGCTGATTTTTTGTCTCTTTTGAATATCAATATACAATAGAAAATACTAGTCATTATATAAATGTTTTTTGCTTGTCAATCTTTATCTCTGTTTCACATACATCTTTTTTTTTTCTCCAGTATTTTCGTGCAAAAAACTATCATCAAACGCATCCACAACTATTTTTGGATAAGTTTTTGAGAAGAAGAAAAGAGCTTTAAAACGGCGCATTTAGAAAAAAGCAGCTTCGATGTTTTTTCCTTTCTTGTTTTTGTTTTCTTGCCGATTTCTGCGGTTTTTATTCTTATTCAATGTTGCTGTGCTCAGATTCGTAGGATTGTCGTTGGAACTAAAAAAATAGTCTAGAAATTGAGATTTTTTTATTATTCTTTTTCTTCGCTTTCGTTTTTCTGCGTGTTTTTGTGTGTATTTTGTTGTTCTATGGTGATTTATTCTTTTCTTTTTGTTGTTTCGTTGTTGTTGTTGCTGATTATATAAGTTTCATTTTTCTTTCTTTTGCATTATATGATAATAATAATTACACAAAAACTCCCGAAAGAAACAGTTTTGATCTAATTTTGATCTAATTAGAATAATCAGATTTCGTAAACAATGATATTTAGACAAATATAGTCTGTAAAAATTTTGAGTAATTCTTACAGCTCCTCACTTAGTTAGAATTTATAGTGTACAGCTTTGATTTTATTTAATCCAATGAAACATGAACTCATATAAAAAAATGGCTCTATTTTCTAACTTAAGAGAGGCAAATGTTCTCTGTTTTTTTTCATTACTTTGTTGTCCATGTCGACTTATGTATATGATGGGAATTTTGAACCTCCCGGACACGTTTGTCCCATTTGTTTTAATTTTTAAAAAAAATTTGAAAATTTTTTAAAAAAGTTGACTATTCATTAAAAATACTCTAATTAAAAAACTAACTTCGATCGGTCGAGGAGATATGCTCGAGGTTTATATGCTCAAATTATTTCGAATTTTAAATGAAGTTTAGTTAGCAAAAGTTTTCGTTCTTCTTAATTTGTCATCTTTTTAGAAAAATAGTATGTTTTACAAACCTTGCTACAGATTTTAGCTTAAACAAGCACGATGGAAAAAAGCTTTTGCTTACGAACACTAAGGTCACACTACAGCCTTAATCACGATTAATTCGTAGTGTGACCGCGACCTTAATCACGATTAACTCGCTAATCATGATTAACTTTACACATGATTAAAAGATGATTAGTGTTAATCGCGATTAAATGTATGTATACTTATCAAATTGGAAAACAAAATGGCGGAAATAGTATGATATTGGCTGTTGATGCTATTGCGTATACTGCAATAGCTAATCGTTTAGATTCTGATATAACTGGACGCAGTTTTGTGTCTTGCTTTGTCGTATCCATACCGACTGCTGTCAACAAATATTGAAATACTTATTTACTCACACGGAAATTTTTCTTGAATAGTTCGACGATGTATACTCCATTTTTGAACCTCAATTTCAAAAAACTCTTTGTTTCTCCGACGCTGCCAAACGGATCGTTCAGCTTTTGTGAAACAATTCACCAACGGATGAAATAATAGCAGCATATCGAGGCTCGACACATGTTCTTTTCTGTTTTTTCTTTTTGCTGTAAATACTTTTCTTTGTTTAATAATAGTGTTCATCGTTCACTTGGACTGGCAGAAAAATGAGCCAATTTTAGAGCACTTTCCGTATTTATTTGCTGTTCTTAATCACAATCAGCGTTTAATCATGATTAGCGCGGTCCCATTGTTTATTTAACTTTGATTAAAATAGTGTTGATCATGATTAAAAAAGGATGTAGTAACACTACAAAATCGTTAATCATGATTAATTTTAATCGTGATTAAGGCTGTAGTGTGACCCTAGTGGAAGTTGTTACATAAATCCAAGATAGGGCACTGGATATGTGTCAGGAACTACTCGAACAATCATTAGATGGTATTGTATTCATCTGTGTCGACTGACCCTCATGAAATGGTTGCCGAAGGAATGCCGAGACGTACAATTGGATTTCTTGTAAAAGTGTCACATTCATCGCCCAAAAAAGTACCCTGGGATACTTGGTTTTTTAGTGTCCAAAGATAGCTGCATGATGCGGCATCAAACCAGTATCAGTGCTTGAAATGGAACAGGAATACAGAAATGAAAGATGGTACAGGAAATAGTTTCACAGAAAATACAGCACAATTTATTCTTCTGGCGTTTCGAAGAGAAAGTTTTCTAAAGTTCTATTTATGAAACGTCATTTTAGAGTCGGTGATGATACCCTGTAAACGATGATCGACAATATGTTCTTAAATATCGCACGCGAGCGTAGAAAAACAATATTCATACCATTCATCACTACAGAGCCGTTTTAAGAAATTTGTGGCCCCTGTGCTGGTCATTAACGTTTTCAACACATCAATTTGTATTTTTTTAATAATAACAAAATGCAAGGCTTAAGCCGTTCGATTGGGCCCCTGAGTCAGCCGGGCCCCTGTGCTATAGCACAATTAGCACATAGGATAAGAAGGCACTGCATCATTACCCAAATACAAAAACTACGCTGATTGTCGATTGAAGTTATAAGAGTGCAAGTGTGAACATATGAAGTGGAAATTAAAAGTCGACTTTCTTAGCGCCAGAAGGAATGAGCTCTAACTTTGCAGAAAACTTTGTTTATTCTTCTAGAAAAATAATAATGTTTGAATAAAGTGTCGAGGTCGTTTCGTTTTCAAAACGCCAGCAGATAGATGTCACTGATGAAGCGTCATCTATCTGCTGGCGTTTTGAAAACGAAACGACCTCGACACTTTATTCAAACATTATTATTTTTCTAGAAGAATAAACAAAGTATTCCACTCAGTACGCTACCTCGCATCTAAGCAACAACTTTGTAAGCAAATACTTTTCTCCACTTTGCTTCGTTAAACTAAAATCTGTGACAAGGTTTTAGCACGTTGAATTTACGCAGCACAAATGTTTTTGAAAAGCTTTAATTTTCTAATCTTTCCACATTACCAATGGCTTAAAGTTACGAATAGTCCTAATTTGACCACTTTTTACTATAAAAAAATTTCAATTACTACTTTAGCATTCATATATTTTCAATTGTTAAAAACCATTTTTCCAAACTCTCACTGAAAAAAAATTTACGAATTCCTGCGTTGACACGCAGGAATCTGAAAAATCCTGTGAATGTTTGATATATACTGCAGGTTTTTACATCACGTTACCTCGCTGAGAATTTTCCTGCAAGTTGATGAGTATAATTGAACGGGATTCTTTAACACGCTCAGTTTTTAAGTTTCTTTTCTGCAGGATCCTGGAGGATTCTTCTCTAGGCACACCATGCAGAAACTTTTATATGCGTTCATGCGATATATCTCGCAGATCCTTCACTTTGCATAGCCTGCGGAATTTTTTCCTTCCTGTTATCACTTCTAATACACAAGATATCTCAATACGCAAACCCTGCAAGGTCTATAGGATTTTCTCGTGATGATAAAAAGTAGTAGCTTGTGGATTTTGTTCGCCATGTCTCTCTTGCGGCATTCTGCAATCTTTTCTCATCAATGTCTGTGCTGGGTGACCATGGAGAAACTTCTCTGTATTTTTTACTTCTGGCAAGTTAAGTACTTTTGCATCTTTTCTTGTAAAGTCATAAGAGCTTTTCTCATGTCAAATAAACTTCTGGAAAATGTATACCTTAATATTTTTAACTATAACTTATCAATGTTTTACCGATATTTTGAAATTATATACCATTCAACAGAGTATTCAAAGGGATTACTCTCATTTCGTCCCGTCTCATTTTGTCCCATAATTGTTTGGAATAAATGTGTTTTGATCACCAAAAAAGTGACTTTTGATCACCAAATTTATTAACAGTGAAATGATCACCAAAAAATAAGACTTTTGATCACCAAATCAATTAAAGAAGTTTTAATTAAAGAAAATATATTCAAGAAGAATATATAGCAATTTAATAGAAAATTAATTGCAAATTAATTAGTGGACAGACAAGAAAAAGAATATAACGATAATATATACAAGAAGAAGTATGATACATTCA